TCTCCCATTCTGAGGGCTGTCTGCTTGCTTTACTGTGTTCTTGGCTGTGCAGAAGCTTTTTAGTTTGATCAGATTCCAGTAATGTATTTGTGGTGTTGCTTCAATTGCCCGGGGGTGGGGTGGTGTCCTCCTCATAAAATATTCTCCCAGGCTGATTTCTTCAAGTGTTTTCCCTGCACTTTCTTCTAGTATTTTTAGTTTTATGTCTTAATTTTAAATCTTTTATCCAGTGAGAGTCTATCTTAGTTAATGGTGAAAGGTGTGAGTTCAGTTTCAGTCTTCTACAGGTCGCCAGGTAGTTCACCCAACACCATCTGTTAAATACGGAGTCTTTTCCCACTGAATGTTTTTAATTGGCTTATCAAAGATCAAATGACAGTAAGTAGCTGGGTTCATCTCTTGGTTCTCTATTCTGTTCCAAACATCTACCTCTCTTGTTTTTGTGCCAGTACCATGCTGCTTTGATCACTATCAATTTATAGTATAATCTGAAGTCTGGTAGCGTGATTCCTCCTGCTTTGTTTTTATCTCTGAGTAATGTTTTGGCTATTTGAGGTTTCTTCTGATTCCATATAAAATGAAGTATTATTTTTTTGAGGTCTTAAAAGTATGACAGTGGTGCTTTAATAGGGATTGCATTAAAATTGTATATTGCTTTCAGTAGTGTGGACATTTTAACAATGTTGATTCCTCCCAGCCATGAGCATAGTATGTTTTTCCATTTGTTAACATCTTCAGTTATTTCTTTTCTTAGAGTTTCATAGTTCTCTTTATAGAGATCTTTTGGTCCCTTGTTAGGTAAACTCCCAAATATTTCATCTCCTTTGGCACTATTGTAAAAGGAATAGAGTCTTTGACTGTTTTTTCAGCTTGACTATTGTTGGCATATATAAAGGCTACAGATTTGTGAGTATTGATTTTGTAACCTGAGATGTTGCTGTATTCCTTGATCTCTTCTAAGAGTTTTGAAGTTGAATCCCTGTGGTTTTCCAGATATACAATCATATCATCTGTTAAGAGTGAAATTTTGATCTCCTCTGACCCTATATGGATACCCTTGATGGCCTTTTCTTGCCTGATTACTATGGCTAAGACTTCCATTACAATGTTAAAAAGCAGTGGAGACAATGGGCAATCTTGCCTGGTTCATGATCTGAGTGGAAATGATTTCAATTTAATTCCATTCAATACAATATTCGCTGTGGGTTTGTTGTAGATGGCCCCTATCAGTTTAAGAAATGTCCCTGCTATACCATTTTCTTAAGTGTTCCGATCATGAAAGGATGCTGGATATGATCAAAAGCTTTTTCTGCATCAATTGAGACAATCATATGGTCTTTGTTTTTTATTTTGTTTACATGATGAATTATATTTATAGATTTATATACATTGAACCAGCCTTGAGACCCTGGGATAAAACCCACTTGGTCATGGTGTATCATTTGCTTGATGTGTTGCTGGATTCTGTTTGCTAGGATCTTATTGAATATTTTTGCATTGATATGCATTAGAGATATTTGTCTATAATTTTCTTTTCTTGTTGGGTCTTTTCCTGGTTTGGGGATCAAAGTGATGTTTGCTTCATAGAATGTGTTGGGTAGTCTTCTTTTTCTATATTTTGGAAAGGGTTAAGTAATAGTAAGATTAAGTAAAGAGGTTTGGTAGAATTCTTTAAAGGTTTGGGAGAATTCTGATATGAAGCCATCTGGTTCCAGACTTTTCTTTTTGGGGAAATGGTGGATAGTTGATGCTATTTCAGAGTTTGATACAGGCCTATTCAACATTTCTACTTCATTCTGGCTAAGTCTAGGAAGGTGGCATGCTTCCAAGTTTTGATCTATTTCCTTCAAATTTTCATATTTCTGAGAATAGAGTTTCTTGTAATATTCATTACGGATTTATTATTATTTTTTATTAAATCATAATAAAATGTACACTGATACATTTAACACATCCATCACAATTACACTCATTTCTTAATAGTTTTGAAATGCACCATTGCATCAAAGGATTTTTTGAATTTCTGAGGAGTCTGTTGTTATTTCGTCTTTGTCATTTCTGATTGATGAAATTAGAGATTTTACTTTTTTATTCCTGGTTAGGTTACCCAAAGGTTTATCTATTTTATTGACCTTTCAAAAACTAACTTTTTGATTTATTGATCTGTCGTATAATCCTTTTATTTTCAATTTCATTTAATTCTGCTCTAATCTTGGTTATTTCTTTTCTTCTTCTGGGTTTAGGATTGGAATGTTCTTCCTTTTCCAGTTGCTTGAGATGTCCCATTAAGTTGTCAACATCCTCTCTTTCTGTTCTCTTAAGGAAGGCTTGCAATACTCAAAATTTCCCTCTTAGGACTGCCTTAGCAATATTCCAGAGATTCTGGTAATTTGTGTCTTCACTATCGTTTGTTCCAAAAAATTGGTAATTTCCTTCTTAATCTCATCTATGACCCAGCTATCGTTCAGCATGAGGTTATTTAGTTTCCATGTTTTTGCATGAGTATGCAGATTCCTGTTGTTACCGAGTTCCACTTTTATTCCATGACAGTCAGAGAAGATACAAGGAATAATTTCTATTCTTTTAAATTTGCTGAGGTTAGACTTGTGACCTAAAATGTGATCAGTTTTGGAGTATGTTCCATAGGCTGATGAGAAGAATGTGTATTCAGTTTTGTTAGGATGGAATGTTCTGTAGATATCTGTTAAATCCAATTGTTGAATGGTTAAGTTTAAGTCTAAAATTTCTTTGCTTAATTTCTTATTGGAGGATCTATCCAAAACTGCCAAAGGGGTGTTAAAATCTCTGACTATTATGGTGCTATAGGAAATCAAGTTGCTCATGTCTGTTAGAGTCTCTCTTATAAATTGAGGTGCATTCTGGTTGGGTGCATAAATGTTAATAATTGAAATCTTATTATGTTGATTATTACCCCTAACAAATATAAAGTGACCATCCTTATCTTTCCCAAGTTTTGTTGGTTTAAAGCCTATTGTATCTGTGAATAAAATTTAAACACCTGCTTTTTTCTGATTGCCATTAGCATGAAATACAGATGACTATCCCTTCACCCTGAGTCTGTATTTATTTTTTAAGGTAAGATGAGATTCTTATATGCAGCAGATATCTGGCCTGAGTTTTTGTATCCAGTCAGCCAACCTGTGCCTCTTTACAGGACCATTTGAGCCATTCACATTAATTGAGAATATTAATAAACCTGGCAGTATTTTGGGTATCGACTTTTTCAAAAGTCCAGTGGACATTTTTAATCCTTTTGCCACTATAGAAGTTGGAATTTGATCAAAAGTTTGTCAGTGAGTTTACTTTGGTGGTAGAGGATTATGCTGGTCATTATGGAGGATAGGTTTGAGAATATCCTGGAGAGATGGTTTACTTATGGCAAATTTCTTCAGCATGTGAATGTCATTAAAGTATTTAATTTCTCCATCAAAAATGAAACTCAGTTTAGCTGGATACAGAGAGCTTCTGCATCATGTCCCCTATTGTGCCCCTGGGTATAAGGGCGAAGCCAGAAACATAGGCCTCCATCATCTTGGTGAAGTTCTCCTTCGATAGGCCTAAGGGGCCAGGTCTTCCAGGACCCCAGGCACATAGAAGAAGATGTCCTCATCCAAGCCACTGAGGTCAGCCTCCAGGAGGTGAGTCTGGACAAAGGCAAAGAGGGCTGCACTGACAATCCTCTCCAGCTCCATGCTCTCTCCTCTTCTGCTCCATGGGGTGCTGCTGGCAACTTGTCCCATGCAGTGCAGCTCTCTTCCCCCAGCCCCACCAACAGTTCCTCTAATTCCAACTTTACCTCCATTCTATTAATCTTATTTGCAATCCAAATTCTGAATTTGATTTCTGACATCTCAGCCATTTGTTTATGAATAGGATCTTCTAGTGTATCTGCCTTGTTGTTCCTTGGGAGAGTTGATCTACACTGATTATTCATGTTACCAGAGATTTTCCACTGATTCTGCTCTATGATTATTTTTTTCACCACTTGGTTAGAGAAGGAAATAAGGTGAAATTGGATTGGGGGCTCCTAGAGTAGTGATTAACCAGCCCTTTGCCCAAGACCTGGGACTGGTGACTACAAGTTTTCCCTTCTAGCTTCGCAAAGGACTTGTATAGTACTATGGCCAGAGACACTAGGGACCTGCTTGGTGTGGTGGGACTAAGTGGCTCTATCTTGTTTTTAGCTGGTCTCTGTCCAATCCTGGTGAATCAGTAACTCTGAGTTGAAGCCTCAGCTGTGGAAAAATACAAGCAACTAAGACACCCCTCCCCCCATGGGCAGCAACTGCAAAAGGAAAATCAAACCTTCACACAAGAACACAACCAGGGTACCACCTTGGATGGTCCTCGGGTGATTGGCCCAGGTCAAGATTTCCAAATCAATTGTCCCAGTCAGCACCCAGTCTTAAGTGGGATAGTTCAAAAGGTCTCTAGCAACTAGATAGCAGGGGTCTGCTGGTAGCTCAAGTATGACTCGCTCTGGAGCTCTGTAGAGTCAGAAGGGCCCACCCAGCAAATGAATTAGTCTAGGAAGTTTGATGTCTCCTTCCCCTTCCCCACCTTGCACCTCTGTCGCACCCAGTCACTGGTAAGCCTGCAGGGCTGTGACCCAGTTCCCTCCAATGAGCAGGTACACCAGTGGTTTGCACCTCCCTGAGTTACTGGGAAATCTGTCTCCTCAGCCATGCCACCACACTCTACCTACCACCAGCCAGCAGGGGGAGCTGAAGCCTGGCTAACCTCAGGTGCTTAATGGAGGCTGGAGAGTTTCACTCAGTTCCAGCCTCGCCCCCATTTGATGTTGCTGCCACTTATATTCCCGCATAATTTGCGTTTCTGCCCTGGCTATATCTCAAAGTGGTTTTGATTTGTATTTCTCTGATGATTAGGGATGTTGAGCATTTTTTCATGTTTTTGTTGGCCATTTGTCTTTTGGGGGAAAGGTTCAGTTCATGTCGCTTGCCTGCTGATGGATGGATGTTGTGGCGAGCACCAATAGTCCCACTACTCCAGAGGGGTAGTCCCACTACTACCAGAGACTGAGCCAAGAGGACTGCTCAAGCCCAAGAATTTGAGGCTGCTGTGGGCTATGACGCCATGGCACTCTACTCAGGGTAACAGAGTGAGACTCTGTCTCAAAAAATAAAAATAAATAAAACCACTTTGAGGTATCACTTAACACCAATGAGAAAAGCCCACACTGCAAGGTACCAAACCTGCAGTTGCTGGTGGCAGGGCAGAGAGAGTGGTACACTTATGCATTTTTTTTTTTTTTTTGAGACAGAGCCTCAAGCTGTCGCCCTGGATAGAGTGCTGTGGCATCAGAGCTCACAGCAATCTCCAACTCCTGGGCTCAAGCGATTCTCCACCTCAGTAGCTGGGACTACAGGCACCTGCCACAATGCCCATCATTGTTGATGTCGGCCGGGACTGGATTCAAACCCACCAGCTCAGGTGTATGTGGCTGGTGCCTTAGCCACTTGAGCCACAGGCGCCAAACCCACTTATGCATTGTTGATGGGATTACAAACCAGCACAGCCTTTTTGGAAAGAAGTATGGAGAATCCTCAAAGAACTAAAAGTAGATCCATTTGACCCCATAATCTCATTACTAGGTATTTACCCAGAAGGAAAAGAAATCATATTATCATAAGGACATTTGCACTCAAATGTTTACAGCACCTCAATTCCCAATTGCAAAGATGTGGAAACAACCCAACTGCCCATCAACCATTCAATGGATGAATGAATTGTGGCATTTGTGTAACATAAAATACTATTTAGCCACAAAAAAGATGGAGATTTTGCATCTTTCGTATTTACCTATTGGGATTTGGAGAACATTAAATAAGTACCTAAAGAATGAAAATGAAAACATCCTATGCACTTAGTGCTAATCTGAAAATAGTAGTAGATTAGCAACTATAGGACCACACGAGAGAAAAACACAATTAAATTCAAGAAGCGGGAGAGCAGGTGGCGCCAGTGGCTCAGTGGGTAGGGCACTGGCCCCATATACTGAGGGTAGCAGGTTCAAACTGGCCCCAGCTGAACTGCAATAAAAAAATAGCTAGGTATTGTGGTCAGCCAAAAAAGATGTCATGAAAGTAGAGAGTAGAATGATAGTTACCAGAGGTTGGAAAGGGAGTTGGGGGTAGGGATGTAGAACTATAGGATTAGAAGTATAGATAGAAGAAGGATAAGTTCTAGTGTTTGATAGCATAGTAAGGTGACTACAGTTAAAACGATATATTAGGCTCAGCGCCTGTAGCTCAATGAGTAGGGTATCAGCCACATACACCAAGGTTGGTAGGTCCGAGCCCGGCCCGGGCCTGCTACACAACAATGACAATTGCAACCAGAAAATGGCCAGGCATTGTGGCAGGCACCTGTGGTCCCAGCTACTCAGGAGGCTAAGGCAAGAGATTCACTTAAGCCCAAGAGTTGGAGGTTGCTGTGAGCTGTGATGCCATAGAACTCTACCAAGGGTGAAGTAGTGAGACTCTGTCTCAAAAAAAAATAATAAAAAATAAAAACCCCAATATATTATTTATTTCCATATAACTAGAAGAGAAGACTTCATATGTTCCCAACACAAAGAAATAATAAATGTTCAAGGTCATGGATAACCCTGACTTGATCATTACCCATTGTACATATATATCAAAATACCACATATACCTCATAAATATATACAATTATGCATTAATAAAAAAGTTAGGCATCTGCCTTTGTACATATTTTGTACTTTTAACTTACAAAAAACAGTCTCCTGCTTTCATGTATCTCTTCCTTTCTCTTTTCTTGTTTTTTTCTCTTTTCTATTTCATATAATGAATTCTGTCGCTTTATTTCCTTAGCATCTTTTTCTTCATATTGTTTCCTTCTTTCTTCTTCTTCTTTACGTTCCTTTATTCTAAAGCAAAATCATAATTATAATTGAGAGAGAAAAGCATACAAAAAGGTTATGTTTTTAAGAAATGAATTAGATTTGGCCCAGCTCAGTGGCTAACACTTTGGGAGGACTAGGTGGCAAGATTGCTTACGGCCAGGAGTTTGAGACCAGCCCAGGCAACAGAAAATACGTCTACAGAAAATATTTTTTAAATGAGCTGGGTGTGATAGCACACACCTGCAGTCCTAGCTATTCTAGAGGCTGAGTCCAGGAGTTTTGAGGCTGCAGTGAGCTATGAGCACTCAACTTCACTCTAGCCTGGGTGACAGAGAGAGAGCCTGTCTCAAAACAAAAACAAAACTAGGGCATGCAAAAAGAGTCTTGCCTCTTGGTATCCTGTAATTTCTATTTCTTTGTGATCAATATAATTGAAATATGTTCTTTGCTCAAAAAGGATAGTCATTTCAAATTTTGGCAGACCTTAAGGCACATGGCTTACAAAGCACATCATGATCTGGTCCCAGCTTATCTCTCTAAACTTATCTTTGAGAGTGTCCCACTATTCCTCTGTACTACAGCCATCTTGACTACTTCTCCCAAATCTACCATAGTCTGACTCACTTCTGGGCCTTTACGTGTGCTATTTCTTCTGCTTAAAATATTTGTACAGCACATTTTTGTGTGGGTTATTCATATTCAATTCTTCAGAATTAAAGGCAGGCGCCAACCTCTCCTGAAAACCCTTTTCTAGACTGGGTCAGATATCCATTTTACATGGTTCCATATACCCTCTACATATATTTGCCAAAATATTTATCATTATGTTCTAATTATTTATTCCATTTTTGTATGCTCCTCTCCCAGATTGTGAACTTCTTTTTTTGTTTGTTTTGTTTGGCTTTAATTTTGCTTTCAATTGGCTTTCAATCTTTTTAGTTTGAAGGTTTCTTTCTTTCTTTCTTTTTCTTAATTTTTAGGGCTTTTTTTTTTGCCCTTCGTAGAGTGCTATGGCCTCACAGCTCACAGCAACCTCCAACTCCTGGGCTTAGGTGAATCTCTTGCCTCAGCCTCCCAAGTGGCTGGGACTACAGGCACCTGCCACAACGTCCAGCAATTTTTTTGTTGCAGTTTGGCCGAGGCTGGGTTTGAACCCACCACCCTCAGTATATGGGGCTAGCACCCTACTCACTGAGCCACAGGCACCGCCCTTTCTTTATTTTTATCACTTTGTGCCTCTCAGTAGAGTGCTATGGTGTCATAGCTCATAGCAACCTTTGACTCTTAGGCTTAAGTGATTCTCTTGCCTCAGCCTCCCGAGTAGCTGGGACTACAGATGCCTACCAGAACCCGGCTTTTTTTTTTTTTTTTTTTGGTAGAGATGGGGTCTCACTCTGGCTCATGCTGGTCTCAAACTTCTGAGCTCAGGGCAATCCACCAGTCTCAGCCTCCCAGGGTACTAGGATTACAAGCGTGAGCCACCATGCCCAGCCAGATTGTGAACTTCTTAAGAAGACTATATTGTACTCATCTCTCTATTCTCAGTGACTCAGTAAATGGAGGATGTTGAATAAAGGTATGAATGAGCTGGGTGCAGTGGCTCATGCCTGTAATCCTAGCACTCTGGCAGGCCAAGACAGGTGGATTACTTGAGCTCAGGAATTCAAGATCAGCCTGAGCAAGAGTAAGACCCTGTCTCTACTAAAAATAGAAAAATTAGGTAGAACTGATGGTGCATGCTTATAGTCCCAGCTATTCCAGAGGCTGAGGCAGGAGGATCATTTGAGTCTAGGAGTGTGAGGTTGCTGTGAGCTAGGCTAACACCACGGCACTCTAACCCAGAGCAACAGAGTAAAAACTGTGTTGCAAAAAAAAATTTTTTTAATTAAAAAAATAAATTTAGGGCAGTGCTTGTAGTTCAATGGGTAGGGAGCCGGCCACATACACTAAAGCCAGCTAAAACAACAATGACAAGTGCAACAAAAAAAAGGTCAGGTGTTGTGGCAGGCACCTGTAGTCTCAGCTACTTGGGAGGCTGAGGCAAGAGAATCACTTATGCCCAAGAGTTTGAGGTTGCTGTGGGCTGTGATGCTATGGCACTCTACCCAGGGCAACAGCTTGAGACTCTGTCTCAAATAAATAAATAAATAAATTTAACCCATAATCCTAGCACTTTGGGAAGCTGAAGCAGGTGGATTGCCTGAGTTCAAGAATTTTAGACCAGCCTGAGCAAGAGTGAGATCCCGCTTCTAAAAAATAGGCAGGCATTGTGGCAGGCACCTGTAGTCCCAGCTACTTGGGAGGCTCAGGCAAGAGGATCACTTAAGCCCAAGAGTTGGAGGTTGCTGTGAGCTATGACACCACCACACTCTGCAAAGTGAGTCTCAAAATAAATAAATAAATAAATTTAAATAGTAGGATTTCTGGAAACAAATTAGCAACTCAAGCTTACATGTTGAACATTCTTCCTCTCTTAATTTCCCGGAATTCAACCAATATGGGAAATTCTATACCATTACTAGAAATTAAAAGACAGACTTACCCATATACCTGAATTTTTAAGAGATTTCCAGGGAAAATAGGGTAGTTGAAAGTGCACTGAGCATATATATCATCTAGCCAGCATCCACAAGAAAGAGCCCACTGGGAGGAATAGGTAAAGGAATTTACACTGTCTTCAGAGCCTGAATATTCCCTAGACTGTTCTGAAGACATGCCAAAGAAACAGCTAAAACAAATCCTAAACCTCTAACCTATTGCCAAATACCACAAGGAAAGAGGATCTTGTGGCCTAAACACAGTCTGCATACAAAGGCTATAGGAGGGTGAATGGCCTGTGAAGGGGTAAACTGTTACCTTTACTTATCTCTGAGCTACAGTATAGAAGAAAGATTTCTCAAACACAAGTGACTCACTGGACAAATATTTGACTCCTTTTGCCAGTGGCTTTGTTCCTTACTTGTATAAATCCTTAGACTTTACACTGTCAAATAAAAAAATTACAATAAACCCAAAGGTTTCTCTTCCATTTTTTGCTAAGGATTGAAATAACTGGAAAATACACAATTTGGCAGTATATGTGTCCTGAGAATTGACATCCATATCACTTAGACATGTGATTTTGAAAAATAATTGTATATACGACAAACTAAAAAAGCATTTAATAAAACAATACTGTTGATCCAATTTCGTTTTATAAAATATGAGTATATGTGCTAAGGAAAAAAGTCTGCATCAGTACATCACCAATTTCAAGAGGCTAGAAGTGGAGGATAGAATATAGTACAAAGGGACATGAGGGAACTGTTGGGGGTAATGGACATGTTCTACATCTTGAGTTGGGTGGTAGTTATGCACCTATATGCTCATTTTATTTTATTTCTTTGAGATACAGTCTCACTCTGTCACACTGGGTAGAGTGCTATGGCGTCATAGCTCACAGCAACATCAAAATCTTAGGCTCAGGCTCTGCACCTATAGCTCAAGCGGCTAAGGCACCAGCCACATACACCAGAGCTGGCGGGTTCGAATCCAGCCCAGGCCTGCCAAACAACGACAACTACAACCAAAAAATAGCCGAGTATTGTGGCAGACACCTATAGTCCCAACTACTTGGGAGGCTGAGGCAAGAGAATCACTTAAGCCCAGGAATTAGAGGTTGCTGTGAGCTGTAATGCCATGGCACTGTACTTAGAGCGATAGCCTGAGGCTCTGTCTCAAAAAAAAAAAAAAATCTTAGGCTCAAGAGATCCTCTTGCCTTAACCTCCCAAGCAGCTGGAACTACAGGCTCCTTCCATGACACCTGGCTATTTTCTGTATTTTTAGTAGAGATGGGGTCTTGTTTCTGCTCAGGCTGATCTCAAACTCAAGCAGTCCACCTGCCTCAGCCTTCTAGAGTGCTAGGATTCTAAGCATTAGCCACTGCACTCAGACAGCTATATGCTTTTTTAAAGGTGAATTTTACTAAACATATTATATTTCAATGAGCCTGAACCCTCCACCACAAAAAAGAAAGTTTCACGGCTACACAGCAAAAAAATAATAGCAACTTCCCACTTTCTTTCTTTCTTTTCTTTTTGAGACAGTCTCACTTTGTCACCCACGGTGGAGTACTATGGCGTCACAGCTCACAGCAACCTCAAGCTCTCAGGCTTAAGCAATTCTCTTGCCTCAGCCTCCCAAGTAGCTGGGACTATAGGCACCCGCTATAACACCCAGCAATTTTTTTGTTGTTGTTGAAATTCTCATTGCTGTTTTAGCTGGCCAGGGCCAGGTTCAAACCCGCCACCTTTAGTATATGGGGCCAGTGCCCTACCCACTGAGCCTCAGGCACCCGCCCGTAACTTCCCACTTTCATTGATGTCTACTGTGTTCCATTATTATTGGAGCTGGCCATTTGACTTGTTTTAGATTCATGATAGGCCAAGTATACTTTCTTGTCCTTTGACTTTGGAATTAGTTGTATTTTTGCAAGCCCATGCTCACTTTCTTGCATCTCTGTCAACACTATATGAAAAGCTTCCCTCAAGTGACTGTTTCATCCAGGACCTCAGAATGAAACACATAGAGTGGATCACAACCCTCCCAAACAACAAACAAGCCCAGCCAGTCCAGTATCTTGAAGAAAAGCTGCTTGTCTGAGTCTAGCCTCTATCAGCCAACCCCCGCCAACCCACAGATGCATGAGAAATAAGGGTTTATTGTTGTATGCCACTAGGTTGTGTTGTTGTAATGCTACATTATTATTGTAGTAGTGACCATTTCACAATCTCTGGGTAAGGAAGTGATAGTGATTTTTAACATATTTCTTTGTACTTTTCCTACTAATTATTCTTCATGTATTATTTTTTTCAGAAAAAAATAACCATTTTTCAGAACGTTATAAAAAAGGTAATTCATGAACACACATACTGTTTTAGATGATCTTTGCTAAGAGCCACTCTTTCTCTATGTTGTTTTTCTGCTTTTTCTTGTTCTTCTTTAAAAGCTTTTTCAATATCGAGTTTCAATTGTTCCTCCCATTTTTTATCTGTCTTCCTCTTACTCTTTTGGAATTCGATCTGAGCATCACGTTCTTTCATAACTCTACTAAGAAGAAGTCCTGACTACAAAAAAAATTATAGTATTTTAAGAAAATAATGTCAAATTGTGTATAGATATATGTAAAATATATATAAAAATACAAAAAACCCCAAGTAGTACATGAAAGTTTTTCACTCTTTCTGTCTGGTAGAACTGATATTGCTTTGCATTTTCAATGGCCTTTTTTCTTTCTCCTTGTTTATGTATTGCTTCTTCTAGATCAAGAATTTGTCTTTCTGCCTCTATTTCTTCATTACGCTTCTTTTTGGCTTCAAGTTTCTGTTCTTTCATCCCCTATAAAAAAAAAAAAGAAGCAATTTTTTGTTTTCATTTTTTAATTTACCAAAATTTGGGTGGCGCCTGTGGCTCAAAGGAGTAGGGAGCCAGCCCCATATGCTGGAGGTGGCAGGTGCAAACCTAGCCCTGGCCAAAAAAAGAATTTACCAAAATTTAACATCATAATATGAAAAGTTGATCTTTCATTACAAGTCTTTATTATATTTGCATATTTCATTAGTAAATAAAAAGTGTTGAGCACTACCTGTGGCTCAGTGAGTAGGGTGCCAGCCCCATATACCAAGGGTGACGGGTTCAAACCCGGCCCTGGCCAAACTGCAACAAAAAAATAGCTGGGTGTTGTGGTGGGTGCTTGTAGTCCCAGCTACTCGGGAGGCTGAGGCAAAAGAATCACCTAAGCCCAGGAGTTGGAGGTTGCTGTGAGCTGTGACACCACATCACTCTACTGAGGGCAATAATGTGAGACTCTGTCTCAATAATAAAAAAAAGTGTTACATTTACAAACTTATTTTTTAGGTAGGTTAACACATTTACATGGTTTAAAATCTAATATATTACCAGTATATAGTGAACTTCAATCCTAACTTCCATCTGCAATCTCCTCTTACTATAAGATAACCACTATTATTAGTTTCCTGCGTTTTCTTCCAAAGTTCTTCCCTATAATTATGTAATAAATATATATCTTACTAGTGTTACTCCTTTAGAAAATCAACAGTAGCATATTTTATATGATCGTCTATACCTCTGAGGAGTCCACTCAATGTTCCAGGTCTTATAAGGGCTTTCTTTTCCTCTATTTGCCATACTGTCTAAGTCTTAAGAAAACCTTAGTTAGCCTGGTATACTGAAGTTTTTTTTCTTTTCTTTTTTTTTTTTGAGACAGAGTCTCGAGCTGTTGCCCTCGGTAAAGCGCCGTCACAGCTCACAGCAACCTCAAACTCTTGGGCTTAAGCAATTCTCTTGCCTCAGCCTCCCAAGTAGCTGGGACTTACAGGCGCCTGCCACA